ATCGTAGTCAATATTCTATCAACGACTAAAGATATATGACATTTAATGTTAAAAGTATTTTGCATTTACATTCCTAATAAAATATTTTGATATATACTGTTATGCTTTATACAATAATGAAGAGTTTTATTTTAATGAATATATATCTTATGTAAAATATCTCTAATTTTTAGCCATGGAATTATATGTCCTTTTCTGAGGTAACAAATTATATATATAAAAATTAAAATTTGACTATTACAGTTCACTTCACATAATTTTTAAACTTTTTAGCCTTCAAAAGATAATTGCAGTTGGTGTGAACAGGTAAATTTAAATTTAAATTAAATGTAACTCAATACTCAATAATTTTATACGATGTCTGATAAAATAAGATCAATTTAAAAAACAAGATGTGACTTTAGTTGGTATATAGTTGTATATGAGAGTTCTATATTAATTTCGACAATATTGCACTTTAGTCAGTATATATTTTCATATGGAAGTACGTCGTTTTAAATTAAAGTATTACATTCATACCTCCATTTCCCCTATATACTTATATCTTGCATAATTTGTTTAGTGGTGAGCTTCAGAATGCCTATAGCATAATTTTAAGGTCTACAGATAGGTAGTAACCTTTAGGCAACCTAAGGCAAAAGACCACTTTACGTTGATTTACGAACTTTTATGTCTGTTTTATGTTTTGGATATTTGAATGTCAATCGATTTTAAAAAACGTTTTGAAGAAGTTTAGCGTATTTTAAACTTTTTTGCAATATGTTTCACCTGTAAACAAACTGATATATATATTTTAATGCGTTTACAATAAAAAAGTGTATTTTGAAAGGTTGCTGCACCAGTTCCTTCATACTATCCACGAAGACCACAACCAAGACCTCAAGCATGCACAGAAGTGCAAGTAAGTATTACTATTGTCATTTATACTATATGGACATATTGTTTCCTTCATTAATTAACTTACCATATTTAGTCTAAAATATTAAGAGAAGTAATAATATGTAATATATAATGATATATAATATATAGCTGCAGGTTTCACAAGTCGATGTGTCGGTTAATACACAACACAGTTTTAATAATACAAAATGTAGACACACTTCCTGGATATGTTTATGATATAAACACTGATATAAAGCTTACTCAATTTTCTTATATATAATATTGTTTTTTATTTATTTTACTATTCCATTTAATTATTTTTTACATCATATATTATAGCATTATATAGGAATGCGGTAAATTTATGTAAATATTGTCTAAATTTAATGATTTAAACACTGTGGTTCAGAGATAAGTGATCTAGCTAAGGTATAAGCTGAATGGGGGAACGCAATTGACAACTTTTTTGACTTAATGAACATTTGGGTTTTGATATCCGTTTTAATCATAATATTAATAATTTTTATTTATTTATTTATTTTATTATTTTGTTATATATATTATTATATTATTTTCTATTATATTATTGATAAGCATCAGTCTCTTGTGGTTTGCTTAAAGATCAATGATATAAATTTAAGATTTCAATTTTAAAGATTTGAATTTAAGATTTAAATATTATGGAATTCAATCTTAAAAATTTAATCTCAAAGATTTTTTTAAATATTGTAAGATATTCAAATGACTTTAATTGAAACAAATGTTATAATAATGACTAAGGTATGAGTTAGTGACCGCTGCTAGAACGGTATTATTAAATTTCTTTTGTGTCTTCTGAAATAAAATGATCATAGTCTTTAAGAAAAATCTTATTAGATGATTTAAATACTGTGTGGTTGTTCTGAATTCATTGGACCAATTATTAAAAAGATATATCTATAACGTTAATAGTGGGGGTCGCTATAAAAACTGTAAGAAAATCACTAAAAGTCACATATCACAGCATTTACACTTTATTTTTATACAGCTACATTTTATAATGTCAACAAAGAACAGCTGATTTGTAGATTTTAAGTTATGAACAAAGAAAACTATAATGTTATAAGCCCCATTGTTCCGATTTACTTTCCCTGCAGAGAGGGGAAAAGAATACTCCCACGGTTAGGATTGCCTGTCGTAAGAGGCGACTAAAATCCCCGAGTGCCAGTCTGGCACTTATGCAAGATTATGCTATCTGGTACTTCGGGGTTCAGTGGCCCGCAGCTTCGGCTGTACTGACCATTGGTGTTGGCTTCTAAGTGGCTGTTTGGTTGATACCCAAACTTACGCGGGAACAATGTTTTGCTTGTCATTCATTCGCCGTGGTGTGCGTTTTAAACTGGGTGCTGCAGCCCAAATTGTAGCAGAGGTCGGTAAGTAGTCCTCGCATCTTACCAAGGTGGAAGTTTTATTGGTACTCTTGCATGAATCTCTTTTTTTTCTTCATTGGTTACCGCGGATAGAGCAAGGCTTATTTCACATTGGGGCTTTGATTGGACGCTAATTAATCACTTGTGTTAAGGGGCCGCACGCGTGATGTTGAGCATTCATGACAGGAAATCACGTTAAATATGTACAATCTGTCCCCGAAAAAAGATCAGTACTTAGTGCTAAATACCTTTGTTACGCTAATATGACACTTTGTTGACTGTTCAAACATTGTAGCGAAGACGTAGTGTAATTTTATTATAAAAGTGTGAAGTATATACGATCAAGCCTATATAATTTAAATAAAACATGTATAACATTAAAGATGGCTAATTTAAACTCATTACAAATGAGACATTTGGGGCCAGCGTAAATGTAGTATAAGTCACTCAGTCGTTAAGTTGGTAATACTTTATTAAGATTATTCACAAATGACTCATTACATTAACATCTAACCACTAAGGTGGATATGCGTCCATGAAGGTGACAGCACTCCAATTGGAGGTCTGGACGTCATATAAATCAAACAACAACAATTAGAAATGTGACTTAATTTCAGCTTACGTTTCAATGAAATTAAGGCCAGTTTTCTTAATTTCGTTATAACCATAAAACTGAATTTTATATAGAAAAAACAACTTAATTTCGCTGAAACGCAGATGAAATTAAGATACTTGCGAAATTAAGGTGTGTCTGAACATAGTATAATAATTGCATATCTGGTTATTCATATTAATTTTGTAACTTTAATTTTGTCATTTAAGTGAATTAAATTTTAATTCATATTAAAAGCTAGTAAGCGCTGAATTTTACAGCAATGTTCAAACATCGAAAATTATTGACACAAATGATAATATTAAATACGAAATATCAAAATGTGATTTTAATTTTTTATTTATAAATAATAACTCTAAATTATATACAAATAAATACGGCTAAAATAAATGCAAGCAGCAATAGTAAAACGCTAACTATTTAATTTTTGTCTTGAAAAATTTGATTAAAATTTTAATTTCCCAAAAATTAATTCAAAAATTTTAGTGAAAAATGAGTGTCTTATCAAATTTATTGAATTTAAGCAAAAATCGTATTTGGCATGCTTTGAGAGTAGCTCAAAAAAATCTTATTCAAATTCCATTTTCAAAGGTAAGCGAAAAACTATTACTGCAGCTGTATTTGAGTTCCAGAAGTTACGTGTTAAGTCATCATGTATATCTTGATGCCATAAGTCGTATAAAAATACCTGGTATTACTATATTTCGTGCATTAAATGTATAAGCACACAGTAGCGATCCCATCAGTTAAAATAGTTTTAGAAAAAGTAAATCATGATATATAGTAATATATATTATTAAATTCATGCTGAACTGAACAACATTTTAAAATTAAAAGAGCGCCTGTAGGGTAAAACCCCTTATAAAATGATCGATAGTTATCGAAGCTATGCGTGGTTATATGTTCAAGCAGTCTTATATAGTAATTCAAAGCAGATTCCCCATTTAAATGTAATAACTTTTTGTTTAAAATTCATATAATAGTAGATAGCGAACAGTACCTCAGTGATAATTTAATTGTTGTTATTATAGCAACTGAGCTATAGTACTTATGTTCTTTAGTAAAACAAGCTTACAAAATCTGAAGTTTTTGAACGGAAATGAAAAGATAGAAATCTTATTTTATTAGACCAAAGAACAACTTCTGTATTACTCTAATATAATCTTAGAATAAAATGCACTTATTTATTAAAGAAGTAATACTAATTTTAGAATCAAATTGTAAAATGTAACAAACACTTCTCACGGTCTTCAACGGAAGTATATAATTCCTTGCGCGACCAATTCTTCTGTTTTGAAAAATCAAGAGCACTTGGTGCCAATCTTGAGCTCACTGAACGTGAACTTGAAGCGAATGAAATTATAATGGCAGCCAAAATGCAAGAATTGGAAAAAGGAGTAATTACGCCACATATGTTCAGTCCATCTCAGCATTTTTTTAGTGTTCTAGACCAAATTCATGAGTCACCTTTATTTGAATTTATGTCAATAATGCCGAAAGGTGGAGTATTACACGCACATGATATTGCATTGTGCAGTACAGATTATTTGCTCGAACTGACATATCGTGAAAATTTGTGGGCTTGTATGGCTGGTGATGGTTGTGAAGCAGTTGCATTGAAATTTTCTAAACAAAAACCTAAGGATAAAGTGGCTAAAGATTGCAACTGGGAATTGTTGTCAAATGTACGCAAAAAGCATGGGGCAGAAGCAATGGATGAATATCTGAGTGATCGTTTCACATTATATCCAACTGAAAAATATACAGATATTAACGAGGTGTGGATGGCATTTATGAATATATTTGGTTTACTGGATGGTTTGATGATGTATGCACCCGTTTGGGGAGATTATTACTATAATGCATTGAAAGAGTTCAATGAAGATGGTGTGCAATATTTGGAATTTAGAACAACATTACCTCAAGTAAGTCGGTTAAAGTATTGTGCAATACTTTAAAGTTTTGAAAATCAATTTTTCTTTTTTTTTTTTAGCTTTATGATATGGATGGTAAAAAATACACTGAATTAGATACTGTAAAAATTTACAAGGATACTTTAGATAAATTTATG